GCAATTACATGACGTCAAAATATGCGTGCACAAAGTACTCATGATGACACACATGTCCGCATCATACTCATAGGTGAAGCCTTAAAAAAGGCTCCAATACACAGCGGCTGGTGCCATTTAACACATCGGATGTGAGAGCTGCCGCCACCATAGATGGAGTTTGCTACGGCACTTCCTGGACCCTGAACAGCCGCGTGGGAATGTGCTAAGGTTAAGCTTGACCTAAGGCGGGCGTGACACAAGTAAACTATTTTTTATTTCTTATATTATTATTATTACTGGTTATAAATTATAATAGAAAGTGTGGTAACACAATATATCACTAATAAACATAGTTATTTTTCAAGCAATAACTAAATATGGCCTTAAATAAACTGTATGAACGATCCACAATTTGAAACAGCAGATACAAAATATTCTTGCATTCTTCTGTTGTCAACTTTAAGTTCATCTGCAGTGATGACCTAGTCTGGAATGCAGCTGTCTGGCCACAGTAAGATCAAGAGAACCTTAACATCCACAAGATACAATCTCCACAAGAGACCACTGACAGGAAGCATCAGGGAGGTTGCACATCATTTATCGGTTAAGCATTACCCACTGACTAACCAGCATCAATCTGTCTTTATCCTTCTTGGAAAACCTTGACGTGGCTAACCACTGATTATTTAACAGACTTATGCAAATTCTTCACTGTTGGTCCATATGGTTAATTACATTTAATTACAAAATCCTGGCTAATTATGCCTTTTCTTAGTTTTTGAATAGATACATAACCATACAAACACGCAATGTGATACAAGATTTAAATAGCTTGTTTAGTCTGCCTTCTCTTCTGAAATTATCCAACTTCACTAAACATCATATGTGTGAATTTAGTACACATGAATGCCTTCATAATACCAGTCCATATAACTTTTGTTTATTCATGTGGTCCTGTGTATACACGGGTGGCTGCATGTGTCCAAATGCTCGATCTCATGCTGTTATACCCTGGATGGTTTAAAATCTGCTCTACGATCTTTCTTTCACTGTGCATCTGTTGTTTAAAACACTGCTTCTGTTGCCGTGATATCATATGCTTTCCTCCCAAATAGCTTTACATTTTTTCGAATAGGAAGGAACCACTCTTGAAGGCCTAAATAATCCCCCTTCTTCTGGATCTTCTGCTACACTACAAGGAAGAGAAATGGTCAGTTGTATAGAAAGTCTGTAGGTGGATCTACAACATAACGTTTCCACCTCACAATGTGGTCTTTATCAAATACCTTGCTCACACCTCGACGCATGCTCACATGTCACATGTTCATCTTCCAAAACTATGTACTAAAAGAAAATAGATATTGTTAGTAACTGCCATAACATGCAAAGGTCAAAAAGGAATGTCAGGGCAATGAACTAGTTTTGCTTTAGGGGTTTGCCAAACAATTTGAAACACCCGACTGCTCTCTTAAAAACAAGGCAACAGAGAAAAAAAATAATGAAATATAAAGCTGTTGCAAGGCTGGAACAAAACATAAGCCAGGACTAGATCACAGCAATAGTTTACAGAGAACTATGAGAGGAACATCATTGCAAGAACACTGGAGACTAAAAACACATCACGGAACATTACATTAAGTACCACCTTGGTCTGCAGATTGGATTATTGGCCACTGGGATGTTACTGCCATCTGATTGGACCACAGGATACAAGTAGACACGGAATTGAAGTGGAGATGGGCAGGCTGGGATGAATCAGAAACAAATAACTGGGAGTACAGAGTCATACAAACACAAAGGGACCATGGCGACACAGCAAATGAATAGAAGAACACACACCAATTAAGATCTATCACCGTGAATTAACGATGCTGGAGGGCTTTATGACAGAATACATAAGGGTAAGGGTTTGATACACTGGTACCTGTACATCTATTTATGTAAATATTGTGAATTTAATATAAAACTTGTTCCAAACACTTTGCCATACTATTGCATATTTGTGAACAATCAAAAAATCTCTTTATCCTTCACTTTTATTCCTCTAATATGTACAACTTGTAAGGTGTGAAGATTTTGGTGAATTAAGCAGAGCTTTTGGGTTCAAAAATAATGCTCGGTTGATTTAGCAATTTACATCACAATCTAATTCAGTCCTGGCACAGCCAGGGAACACATTGTATTGGAGGTAAATAAACAGAAAATTTTTTCATGTTCCATTAAATAAAAATGATGGACAGCAAGCCAAAATGGAGAACTTAGTTCCAAGAAACCGCTAAATACAGCTGTGTGGATTTCTTCCATTAATTTAATTTAAGACCCCACAAACACATATTTGTTAAAGGGACTCCAATATTGTGGAATGGGTAAGGCAGTGGCTGAGTGACAGGCAACAGAGGGTTGTAGTCAATGGAGTATATTCGAAGCATGGGCTTGTCACCAGTGGGATACTTCAGGAATCTGGACCAATTCTCCTTAATATTTTTATTAGTGATATTGCAGAAGGTCTTGATGGTAAGGTATGCCTTTTTGCTGATGATACTAATATATGTAACAGGGTTGATGTTCCAAGAGGGATAAGCCAAAGGGCAAATGATTTAGGTAAACTAGAATAATGGTCAGAGCTGTGGCAAATTACATTTAATGTGGATAAGTGCAAATAATGCATCTTGGATGTAAAAACCCAAGGGCAGAGTACAGAATATTTGATAGAGTTCTAACCTCAACATCTGAGGAAAGGGATTTAGGGGTAAATATTTCTGATGACTTAAAGGGACACTCCAGGCACCCAGACCACTTATGCCCATTGGAGTGGTCTGGGTGCCAACTCCCACTACCCTTAACTCTGCAATAATTACCTTGCAGGGTTAACTCCACCTCTAGTGGCTGTCTACAAGAGAGCCACTAGAGGGCACTTCCTGGCCCATAGCACGGAAAACCTGTGCCATAGCGTCGCTGGACGTCCTCACGCTGTGTGAGGACCTCCAGCGTCGCTCAGTTCCACATAGGAAAGCATTGAAATAATTTTTCAATGCTTTCCTATGGAGAGCTCTAATGCGCGTGCCGCTATTGCCGCGCATGCGCATTAGGTCTCCTCAGCCGGCGGGCGGGATCAGTCTCGCCCACCGGCCGACGTAAGGAAGAGGAGAAGCGGCGGCGAGCAGAAACCACTGCCGAGGGACATCGGCGGGGGTCTCAGATAAGTGACTGAAGGGGTTTTCACCCCTTCAGTAACCGGGGATGGGGGGTGGGAGGGAGAGGGGACCTGCAGTGCCAGGAAAACTAATTGATTTCCTGGCAGTGGATTGTCCCTTTAAAGGAATGCAGACAATGTAATAGAGCAGCAGGAAATGCTAGCAGAATGCTTCATTGTATAGGGAGAAGTATTGGCTGTAGAAATATGGAAGTGCTCATGCCATTGTACAGAACACTGGTGAGACCTCACTTGGAGTATTGTACGCAGTACTGGAGACCGTATCTCTAGAAGGATATTGATACTTTAGAGAGAGTTCAGAGAAGGGCTACTAAACTGGTTCATGGCTTGCAGGATGAAACTTACCAGGAAAGGTTAAAGGATCTTAACATGTATAGCTTGGAGGAAAGACGAGACGGGGGGATATTATAGAAACATTTAAATACATATAGGGAATAAACACAGTAAAGGAGGAGACTATATTTAAAAGAAGAAAAACTACCACATCAAGAGGACATAGTCTTAAATTAAAGGGACAAAGGTTTAAAAATAATATCAGGAAGTATTACTTTCTGAGAGGGTAGTGGATGCATGGAATAGCCTTTCAGCTGAAGTGGTAGAGGTTAACACAGTGAAGGAGTTTAAGCATGCATGGGATAGGCATAAGGCTATCCTAACTATAAGATAAGGCCAGGGACTAATGAAAGTATTAAGAAAATTGGGCAGACTAGATGGGCCAAATGGTTCTTATCTTCCATCACATTCTATGTTTCCACAACACTATAGGTACCAAATCAGCTATTTCAGTATAGATCATGCTCCTGCAATCTCACGGCTCAATTATCTGCCATTTAGGCTTTAAATAACTTTGTTTATACATCCCTATCCACCACTCCCTGCATTTGACTTGCACAGCCTTGCTAAACACTTCCTGTAAAGAGAGATCTATATATATATATATATATATATATATATTTTTTTTTTTTTATATATATACAAATAGTTTTATTAAATATCCTGGGTAATACAGATCTTGTACAAAACTGGTAATGACATAAATAGCTTCTTGCACCCCTGTGACATGGAAGGAGGCAAATTTCCCACTGGAAGGGAATAGACTTGTAGGAACAGTTCCTTAGCCTCTACCATTATTTCAGGATGAATGGTACTGTCAGATCTTCACAAGATGAAAGAAAACAGCCTCATCTTGGTAGTGGTAGGTGTAACAAACAAATAAAGCTTTAGGGCAGAAGACGCATAGTTCTTAGTTGTTCTCTCAGCCCCATGACAGACAATAACAGGATAGCACCTTCATGAAACTGAAACAACTAGCGAGAACAAACTCACTGAAACACTACAAAGGTTCTACAACTCAGACAGAGGCTCCAGAAGTCTCTCTTGGAAGAACTGGTGTCTTTTGGGTTTGACAGCTTCCTTGTGGGTTGTAAAATAAGAGGACAGGACAGCCTGGGATTTACTTGGCGCACCATCCTCCTCCTCATCGGCCAGACCACAGGAGCTGCGCTTCGGTCCAGGATGGTTTGGGCTGTACTCCGGCTAAACCTGACAAACTGTGGGTATCCAAAAACAGGGTCCAGATATTTGGCAAGCCATTCCTTTGACTTTGGGTTGTTTGGATAGCCAGAGCCATAATCCATATCAATATCCTCCAAATCCTCCAGGAAACTTCCAACCTTTTACAACTCTGTCTTGTGCCACCTTTGCACAGATACTTGCTGCACTAACAACAGGAAACAATGAATCCACCTTCGGTCTCACAGTACCATCCAGCTCTGGGAATCAGTGTTTCAGCTTCTCCTGGTCTGGTAGTTCTCTGCAGGGCCCACTGTATCTACAAACACCTCTTTCAGCTGAACACTTGTATCTAGAGCATGCTGAATTAGACCGATAGCAGCGTCATGCGATAAGGCATTTAAATTGTACTTTGCTCTTTGAATGAAGTCTGTTGCAGCATTTAACTTTTCAAACAGACGTTCCCTCTCAGATTCATTGAGTGTCTTGGAATCTGCCACTTTCAACTCCTCCAATTCCTTTTTGCGTGACACAGGACAGTAACAGATCCCCTAAACCATAGGACCGAGCATAGAGTCCCTGCCAGCCTCATCTATCTACAGGCAGCAGTCCTCCCTCTTGCACTCCTCGGTTGCAGGAATTTTCTTGTTCGAAATCCCTGCGCTCCATGCTTACTGCGGCACTTCCGGCATTGGGGAGAGATCTAATATTTAAACTACCTTTCTTACACATTCTGTTTCATTTAGACATTTAGAATTTCTTATCTCATGCTCTGTTAATAGCCTTCTAGACCCCGCAGGAGCCTCCTGTGTGTGACAAAAGTTAAATTTACAGAGCAGGAGATAAAAAAAAAACTTTATAAGGTACGTTAAAATCTGATTGGAGAATGAAAAATAAAAATCATGTTGGCCAAGGGAAGTCTGGCTAGGACTGCATAAACAGAAACAAAAGTGATTTAACTGCTAATTGGCAGTGAACAATCAGACTGCATGGGCAGTATCTAAACACCAAAACTGCTTCATTAGGCTAAAGTTGACTTGGTGCTTAGAGTGTTCCTTTAAATATTGAGAATAAGGAAACGTAATATTCATCATGAGAAAAATCATGAGAAGTGACTTTTAAACAGTAAACTGTATTAACCATTAAAATGTCACAGTATAAATGTTGGAAATCTAACATTACATTAAAAATTATATTAACCCAAAAATACTTCACCAGCTTGACATCACTAAAAGAAACCGGCTGTATATTTAATTTGTTACCATGGGTAATATTGAACAATTTCCTTTGTATCACTATATAAGGGGAACAATATTCTGTATGCGTTTTACAATAAATTCAAGAAAAGCAGAGATTCTGATATTGAAAAATATATCCAGGAAAGAAAAGCCCGGGGTAAAAAGGTATTAAAATATTTTTCTATGTTTTGTAACAAAAAATGATGTGGAAGGTGTTCCTGGCTATATAAATAATGTATTTCAAAAATGCTACTATCTGGCTCTGAAAAAGGCATTATAATTAAATTTACTTGTGGCTGGAGAAATCATCGTGCCCTTAATTGAAGAAAGTCTGCTAGCAGCCATGCGATTATTAATACAGATATGGAAATCACTTTAGTTGGGTCAGTTCAGCTGTTTCTTGATCCCCAATTCATTTCAAAAAATGGTTTTTCTACTGGAGGCATGAATATATAATCAATTTATTTATCATTAAATTGGGATTGAAATAAACAGCTGCACTGTGAGCTTCTATGTAAAAAAAAATAAAAAGAAATGATGAAAACTTGAACAAGGACAGTGTAAATGTTATTTTCCTGGATATATCCATGACAGCACTACGGATGGGTATAGCTCCTCCCCTCCTCAATTGGACAGGAACGACCTCCTAATTAAATAATAAGAGACTTCCTCCCCTGTCCCTTCAGTCTTAGTTTAAAGCCACAAACCCAAAAACATTTTTTAGAAAGGGTGGGACCGTAGTGCTGCCATGGCCTATATCCGGGAACAGAAAATATTGGTGAGTATGGTATACATTTTCTGTTTTTCCCCTGATATATCCATGGCAGCACTAAGAATGGGTTATACCCAAGCTAAAAGGTACAAGGGAGGGAAAGTAAACAAACCAAAAAACGCCAAAGTCAATGCAACCTATGCAAAGAGACTTCCTCCCCTGTCCCTTCAGTCTTTTTTTCCTGTCCACTACTCAAGGACATAGGATGTTTCACCTCCTCTTTTTTATTTTGTGGCTTACTCGGGTCTAATTGTACCCCTAGCCCATGGGGAGTTCAGCCTCTCTCCACATGGAAGCCTCAGGACACGGCACCTCACCAAGGACGACCCCCTGGCGGATTCTCTCCTCAGCGACCGGGGAGCTGTGCTGCAGTGACCCTGTAGGTAGCAGCTGGATGTGCCAGACCCATTGTGGTGATAATTCCCGAAAAAGGGTACACCTAGCTGCTGCATAATTTTGGGGTTTCTTGGCCTTCCCATTACCTGGGACTAGTATGGATCCTGGCCAGTCTCCTGGTGAAATAGTAAGTGGCAGTTCCTTGTAAATGTCTGCCTGACCAGGGATTTTCCTTTCTTGTTTTATCTCCTTTTTAGGTTGAATTGTAATGAGGTTAGCCTTCTGTCTTCGCGTTCCGGATTTGGAATGCAAATTGGAACAAACTCAGATGCCGCATGTGTTCCGTTTTTGATACTTCCGGTTTCAGCATGTCCGGTCTTTGGCACTTCCGGGTTTTTGGCCTATCGCGGTACTCAAGAAGAGCCAGCTGTCTCCATCTCAGATAACAGTGTACTTAGGTGTGAGATTCAACACGATACAGTCACAAGTCTCCCTATCCTCAGACAGAGGACATCGTATCCAGTTGAAAATTCTTCACCTTCTTTCCCTCAACTTTATTCTGGCAAGAGAATTCATGAGCCTTTTATGAAGCTTGTCCTCTACAATAGGCCTTACAAGGTGGGCCCAATAGCATATGAGGATTCTTCAAGAAGGATTTGTATCCCAGTTTGCAAACAAATAACTGAACCAAGCAATTTTCTGTCATCAGAGATCAAAAAGGAGCTGTCATGGTGGTTGATCGATCAGAATTTGTATCAAGGATTCCCTCTGAACAATATTGCTTGGTTCACCTTAACCACGGATGCTTGTCAATCGGGTTGGGGAGCACATCTGAATCTTTATAATGTCCAAGGCCTGTGGAAAAAATAACGGTATCATCAATCTTCAAATATTTTGGAGTTACAAGCAGTCTTCCAAGCCAGTCTCCATTTTCCTTCACTGAAGCAAAACTGGGTAAGAGTAAAGATAGATAATGCATCTGCAGTGGCTTACATCAACCACCAGGGGAGTACAAAGAGCAAACTTCTAATGAAGGTTTTGACTCCCTTGATCTCCTGGGCAGCAAAGAATTTGAAGGGAATCAAGGCAGTGTACCTCCCGGGCAAGAACAATCAAGTTGAGGATTTCTTAAGCAGGGTAACTCTGGACTCCACGGAATGGGCACTATTTCCTCGGGCATTCGACCGCATAGTCCAGAAGTGGGGCCTTCCTCAAGTAGACCTGATGGCCACAGCAATGAATCGCAAAGTGGAAAGGTTCTTCTCGAGTTACTTCGACCCTTTGGCGGAGGACCAGGATACTCTTTGTTGCGAGTGGAAATTCCATGTGGGTATGTTTTTCCCCCAACTCCTCTGATTTCCCCCTTTTGAGGAGCTTCCTTTAAGAGCAAGTGACAATTCTGGCAGTGAACCCTTGTTGGCCCAGACACCCTTGGTTTCCCCTGTTGCAGAAGCTTTCTTGGGACCTCCCTCTATATCTCTCAGAACTCTCTGAGAATCTGAAAAATAGAATTGTTGCTCTACAGAAAGATGGCCTAGGCTATATGAAAATTGCCAAGACCCTGAAACTGACCTGCAGCACATTGGGCAAGACCATACAGTGGTTTCACAGAACAGGCCTCGCCATGGTCGACCAAAGAAGTTGAGTGCACATGCTTAGCGTCATATCCAGAGGTTGTCTTTGGGAAATAGACGTATGAGTGCTGCCAGCATTGCAGCAGAGGTTGAAGGGGTGGGGGGCCAGCCTGTCAGTGCTCAGACCATACGTCGCACACTGCATCAAATTGGTCTGCATGGCTGTCGTCCCAGAAGGAAGCCTCTTCTAAAGATGATGCACAAGAAAGCCTGCAAACAGTTTGCTGAAGACAAGCAGACTAAGGACATGGATTACTGGAACCATGTCCTGTGGTCCGATGAGAACAAGATAAACCTATTTGGTTCAGATGATGTCAAGCGTGTGTGGTGGCAACCAGGTGAGGCATACAAAGACAAGTTTGTCTTGCCTACAGTCAAGCATGGTGGTGGGAGTGTCATGGTCTGGGCCTGCATGGTCCTGCTGGGGAGCTACAGTTCATTGAGGGAACCATGAATGCCAACATGTACCATGACATGCTGAAGCAGAGTATGATCCCCTTACTTCGGAGAATGGGCACCAGGTCAGTATTCCAACATGATAACGACCCCAAACACACCTCCAAAACAACCACTGCCTTGCTAAAGAAGCTGAAGGTAAAGGTGATGGACTGGCCAAACATGTCTCCAGACCTAAATCCTATTGAGCATCTGTGGGGCATCCTCAAACGGAAGGTGGGGGAGTGCAAGGTCTCTAACATCCACCAGCTCCATGATGTCGTCATGGAGAAGTGGAAGAGGACTCTGGTGAACTCCATGCCCATGAGGGTTAAGGCAGTGCTGGAAAATAATGGTTGCCACACAAAATATTGACACTTTGGGCCCAATTTGGACATTTCCACTAAGGGGTGTACTCACTTTTGTTGCCAACAGTTTAGACATTAACCCCTCAAGGACTGAGCCAAATGTACACGTTGTGAACAAAACGTAAACAAAACCTGGCATTTGCGCTACATGTCTGTTCAACCGTAATTCACCTCTTTCCACACTTATTATATATCATTTTATTCAGGGGAAACAGGGCTTTCATTTAAGATCAAATATTTAGCTGTGAAACATAATTTAATATGAAAAACATGGGAGAAAATAAGAAATTTTGTTATTTTATTAGTTCTACATGACATTTTATATATGTCATAATACTGTTTGCTTTTACTGCAATAAAATACACATATTTGTATTCAGCAAAGTCTCACATGTAAAACAGTACCCCCTATGTACATGTTTTATGGTGTTTTGGGAAGTTACAGGGTCAAATATAGCACGTTACATTTGAAATTGAAATTCGCCAGATTGGTTACGTTGCCTTTAAGACTGTATAGTAGCCCAGGAATTAAATTTACACCCATAATGGCATACCATTTACAATAGTAGACAACCCAAGGTATTGCAAATGGGTTATGTCCAGTCTTTTTTAGTAGCCATTTGGTCACAAACACTGGCCAAAGTTAGCGTTAATATTTGTTTGTGTGTGAAAAATGCAAAAAACGCCAATTGTGGCTACTAAAAAAGACTGGACATACCCCATTTGCAATACCTTGGGTTGTCTACTATTGCAAATGGTATGCCATCATAGGGGTAATTTTCATTCTTGGGCTACCATAGGGTCTCAAAGGCAATGTAACCAATCTGGCGAATTTTAATGTGAAAAAAATGAAACACAAGCCTAATATTTGACGCTGTATCTTTTGAAAACACCATAAAACCTGTACATGAGGGGTTCTGTTGTACTCGTGAGACTTCGCTGAACACAAATATTTGTGTTTCAAAACAGTAAAAAAATTTTACAACGATGATATCGCCAGCAAACGTGACGTTTTTTGCATTTTTTACACACAAACAGCACTTACACGGACGATATTATTGCTGTGATACTTTTTACTGTTTTGAAACACAATCACAGCAATAATATCGTCCGTGTAAGTGCTGTTTGTGTGTGAAAAATGCAAAAAACTTCACTTTTACTGGCAATATCATCGTTGTAATAAATTTTACTGTTTTGAAACACTCATATTTGTGTTCAGCGAAGTCTCCCGTGTACAGGTTTTATGGTGTCTTGGAAAGTTATAGGGTTAAATATAGTGCTAGCAAATTAAATTCCCTATACTTTCAGCATGGGTTGTCAGGCAGGTCACGCTAATTGTAATTAATTAAAATACCTAATTATGTAAAAATATTACATAATTATATATGTAGAATTAATATATGTGTATATATAATTATATATATATATATATATATAATTTAAAAAAAATCTTTTTATTTATATATAGGTCTATATAGTGATATATACGTATATATTTATGCATATAGATATATATATTATTTTGTTCTACGTATATTTGATATAAATATATATATATTAATATCACAATACAGTTAGAACGAAAAAATGCACATCTATATATTTTTTTATTATTTTTTATTATTTGTTATTTTTATTTTTTAACGTATTTACATTTTTTTAATATTATATATAAATATATATATAACAATAATTATATATATATTTAATCAGTATCAGTCTATGTGTAATTTGATAGATATATATATATATATTAATAGCAAAATACACCTAGACAGTGTATGTGTATGTATATGTGTATATATATACTTAGATCATATATATATATATATATATAGATATATATATGATCTAAGTATATAATTTTTTTTTTATACTGATTTTAACTGTTGTTTATTTGAATTAAGCCAGCAGGGGGACTAACAGGCAGTCCCCCTGCTGGCAATGCAGCAGCCAACTAACCCGGCCATGTGATTGTGAGGTCCTCGCAAGGACCTCACTCTCACATGGCCTGGGATGGGAGGAGGCAGGATCCACCAGGTGAGTCCCCCGACCGCGATCGCCGGTGTGGGATCGCCGTCGACCGGGTAAGTTAGAAAAACCGTGAGGGCGTACTATTACTCCCTGTGGCATTTAGAGCCGCTTAGAATGGGGCGTAATAGTACGCCCTCCGGTTTTAAGGGGTTAATGGCTGTGTGTTGAGTTATTTTGAGGGGACCGCAAATTTACACTGTTATACAGGCTGTAGACTTACTACTTTACATTGTAGCAGAGTGTCATTTCTTCAGTGTTGTCACATGAAAAGATATGAAATATTTACAAAAATGTGAGGGGTGTACTCACTTTTGTGCGATACTGTATATATACAGGAAATGAGGAAATATTTTATAAATAAATATATATATACAGTTGCAAGAAAAAGTATTTGAACCCTTTGGAATGATATGGATTTCTGAACAAATTGGTTATAAAAGATGATCAGATCACATAAGTCACAACAATAGACAATCACAGTCTGCTTAAACTAGTAACACACAAAGAATGAAATGTTGCCATGTTTTTATTGAACACACCATGTAAACATTCACAGTGCAGGTGGAAAAAGTATGTGAACCCCTAGACTAATGACATCTCCAAGAGCTAATTGGAGTGAGATGTCAGCCAACTGGAGTCCAATCAATGAGATGAGATTGGAGGTGTTGGTTAC